CTACTCTTCGTTGCAGTACGTGGGCTTCTCACTGCGGTGGCTTCTCTTGTTGCGGAGCACGGGCTCTAGGCATGCGGGCTTCAGTAGTTGTGGCACGTGGGCTCAGTAGTTGTGGCTCGCGGGCTCTAGAGTGCAGGGTCAGTAGTTGTGGGGCACAGGCTTAGTTGCTTCCCGGACCAGGGCTCAAACCCGTGTCTCCTGCATTGGCAGGCGGATCCTTTAAAGACAACCCGTGAGTTCCTGTGTGGCCTGGCCCCAGCCTGCCTCATCTTCCTTAGGGCTCCCCAAGGCCCCGCACTAACTCTTTGTGATCAGCCCTTTCAAGTCCCCAGACGAGCCATGCTTCCCCCAGCCCTTGCTCATGCCACATCCTCCCTAGAACACCCTGCCTCTATTCTGCCCAGTTAGCTTCTCTTATCCATCCATCTCAGCACCAACATCACCCTCTCGGGGAAACATTCCCTGTTGCCCATGTGAGATCAGAGGATGCTCTGAGAGCCGGGGGTGCAGTGGTTAGGCACCCAGAGCCTAGAGTCAGAATCCCTGGGTTCACAAACCCAGCTCCTCCATTTCCTTGCTGTGTGGCCTTGAGCGAAGGCTTAACCTCTCTGAGCCTTAGCTTTAGCCTGTGTGTGATGGGGGTAATTACAGCACTTACTGCGTGGAGTTGTAAATGAAAGCAATGGGTTCCTATATGTACACAGTCCCGCCACATTCTGATGCCTCAGACAACATCGGCCATCGACAGGTGACATTAGCCTGTCACTTGCCTGCACAGTGCCAAATGGGCCCCTTTCTTCCTCAGCACTTCATCCTGGTTGGTAATTACGTGTTCATCTGTGCTGTACCTCCTTCATGAGAATGTAAGCCCTATAAAGGCATATGGGCCAGGCCTGGTTTTGCACCCCTATGCCTCCTGTGCCCAGCCTGGAACAAGGCATGGTGACGGCCGCTCAGTCAAGAGCAAAGCTTCTCCCCACTCTGAACCGCACAGCTTTTCCCCAGGACAGTGTATTATGCTCTCGGCCCGGGGTGGCCAAATTGCAACAGTTAGGCCAACTCTGGCCTACCAACTGCTTCTATAAATAAAGCTTTATTGGAACACATCCACACTCATTTGTTCACATATTGCCCATGGCTGTTCTCAGGCTACAAGGGCAGAGTTGAGGAATTGCAACAGAGACCATACGGCCAACAAAGCCAGAAACACTGACTATGTGTCCCTTTACGGAAAAAGTTTACCAGTGCCTGCTTTAGGTATTTGTAACCTCCTTTGAGCCAAGGCCCATGGCTCATGGGGCTGGTAGGAGGTTTAAGTGGGTTCATCCATGGAAGGCACTTAGCACAGGGCCTGGCACGTAGGAAGCCCCAGAAATGTCAGTAGGTGTTACGTGGTTCCATACGCTTGCTCACAGGGGATCGATAAATATTTGTACATTGAATAAATGAGATATTTTCTGCCCCTCACGATAGATTTTTTAGTGGTAAGACCACCCCAGCCTTAGCGGGAAGTCAGGACAATTCATGGCGAAGTTGTGTCTGGCATGAAGGGGAAAGGACATTAGAAATAACAAAAATTACTACCTTTTGCTGCCCACCTAGCATCAGAAACAATACAGAAATTATCCAATTTAATCCTTACAATAGTGCATCTCAAACTTTCAGACACATACAAGTCTTGTTACCAGGATCTTGTTAAAATGCAGATTCTTCTTTTTTCAATTTTATTGAAGTATAGTTGATTTCCAACGTTGTGCTAATTTCTTGACCAAGGTCACACAGTTAGTTAGTGGCAAAGCCAGGATCTCAAGTTAGGTGTGACTTAACTCCAAAATCCCCATTCTGTCTGTGACATTGCCCAGCCAGAAAGACCTCTTTCGAGAGATTGTTTCAGTGGAGGGGTCCCTGCCTGCTCCAAACCAGCTTCCTGCCAGCCTGAATCTGGGTCCTGCGGACTTCGGCCTTCCTAGGCTTGGCGCTGTTTACCGGCTTCCCCTGTCACCTTTTTTCTGGGCAAAGAGGCCTCTTCCAAGGGAGGCTAGTGTCTGGGTTGGCTCTGCCGGAGTGAAGAGGCTTCTGTTTGTGTTGCCTGCTTGTCGCCATATCATAAGCTGCTTTGCTACCTTGTGAAGTGGTCCTGTTTTCTCCACATTGCTCTCTGCTGGCTGAAATACAACAGACCTCTCCCTCCAGTCTCCCCGCTCTTTATCACACACACACACACACACACACACACACACACACACACACACACACAGTTTCTCATCTCCCTCCACAGCTGGCGCTCCCTTTCTCTGCCAGCAGGAAGGCTGAGTTGGGACATCCAGGCTCCCACAGCAGACCAGACTGAACTGGAAACGTCAGGCCCAGGGCTGCTGTGAGGCATGAGCTCTGAGGACGCAGTCCCAGTCTGCCAAATGCAGCATACTGTGGGCAGGAAGAACCTGCTTTCTTGGAGGGAGAAGGTCAGAGAACTTCATCTGCCTCGCTCATCTGAGCGGCCACCACTGCCCCTTGGAAGTCACACCAGTCTCTCTTTCTTTCTTTATGCTGTCGTCCCCCTTTCCGGTTCAGTCAGAAATCATATCCACGTGGAGAGGGCAAAAGCATTAGAAATCGGCTAACAGTCCACACCCATTTTACACATGGGGAAACCAGAGAGGGCAAGGTACTTATCTCAGCCACACAGCAAGTGAGTGGCAGAGCTGAGACCAGAACCCCAATTTCTGGACCCTGCATGCTTCAGGCTCTTTGAAAGCCCCAGAGGGAGAGTCCAGGGTAGTCCAAGAGTTGGGCTGATCTGGGCTTGAATCTGACTTACTAGCTGGGTGGCTTTGAGCAAGTTACTTCACCTCTCTGAAACTCGGTTTTCTCATCTGTAAATTGTGGCAAAAAATACACCCTGCAGGGGTGTTACAAGGATTAAATTATAACGTGCACATCAGACCCAACATGGTGTGGGTGCTTCACCAATACTATCTCTTGTGCTCTGGGTCTTCAATACGTTCTTACCGTCTCCGCGTGCTTATGACATCCAGGTAGCTGTGAGTGTGCATGTCTGGGCATGCGTGTCTGTGCGGGGGTGTGTGGGCTGGGGGATCAGGTTGGGGATACAGCTTGTCATCTCAGAAATGACTTGCAGGAAGAGAACATCCACTCGGGTCTGGGAAGGAGGCAGCACCGTCCTCGCCTGCAGTGGGAGAGGGGTACTAGATTGCCGAGTAACACAGCTGTCCTCCACCCTCTCGCCACTGCTTCTATATGGGCAGCTCAGGTCCCCCCCGCCAGATACAGAACTCCACCCTTCTGCAAGGCCCCCCAAAGCAATCCACTCATCCAGGAGCATCACTTGCAGGGTAGCCTTACTGAAGAAGATCCAGAGGGGAGAGAAGGGTTTTACATCACACGTCACAGCAAACTGCCTGAAACTCTTAGAAAAATTCTTCAAGTGCTATATAGAAAAATTCTCTTCTTCACATATCCTTCGTGGCCACACTGCCACCAAAAGGAACAGGGGTGGGGCACTGGGAGGGGCACTTCCCCTCCAAAACATAGACCCTCAGCCAACCTCTGGGCCGAGCCAAAGGGCCCTCTGTCTAAAAGGACTCAACTTCCTAGGTTACCATTCAAGCCACCCAAACATGTCAAGAAAGCATCCCTTTCCTTACACTAGCCTCCAGACACCTCTGTCTCCTGCCTGTCCATAGCTCCTAGGACAGGGAGTCAGGAGTCCTGAGATCACTCTCTGCCTATTTGAATCTGGATAGAAAAAAATATTTTACTTTCCAGACACACTTTGTAGAGGACTCCACCCCTCTGGGTCACCTTTCAGACACTGTCCCCCCACTATACACCCCCTGCCGCCTTCCCTTTGCCCTCAGCCGTCTGTGCCCCTCTGCACTCTCATCCTCCCACACGCAGGAGTAAAATATTCATTAAAATATTTTCTTCTCCTGCCTGTTAGCCCTTCCATCTTAACTTATCCTGAAGGGTTTTTTAATTTGCTTTTTCTTTTCGTTTTTCTTTGCAATGTGTCAGTTTCTTCCTCTTCCTGGACCACCTCTCCATGTTTATTCACAAGGCGAGCTTGTATCAGAGGCTTACTGTGTCTTTGGCTTTGAACTAGTGGTGGGGACAGAACGAATGAAGAGAGAGAACTGAAAAAACAGCTACATCCTGGCTATCATGGGAACCCACGACCTATGGTGGACACATATATATATAAGCAAATATTTACTATAATAACTATCATTTATCAAATGTTTACTATGTGCCTTCAGAGACTTATCTAAGTACCTTATCAGAATTAACTCATTTAATCCTCACAGCAATCTTAGGAGGCAGGCACTATCACCATCCCTATTTTACAGGTGAGGAAATTAAGGCACAAAGGTGAGATGACTTACCCAAACTTATCCAGCTAATAAACGCTAAAGCCAGCATCCAACCACTAAAACACACTGCCTTTCCATGTGCCCCAAGTGCCCCAACGTGCAGAGGAGAGAGCTAATAACTTTGCCTAAGGAAGTCAGGAAATGTTTTGTGTGTGGGGGGGTACTTTTGAGCTGGGTTTTGATGGATGAATAGAAGTTTGCTGAGTGAAAAAGAGCAGGAAAGACATTCTAGGAAGAAGGCTCAGTATGTCAAAAGTCAGAAACGTGCATTAATGAGTCATGGGAAGTTTGCCACGGCTGGATGAGAGGGAATGTGGGGATGGGCAGAGACCAAGTCCCACGGGGCCCTGTGGGGCTCATGAAGCGCTGGGGTTTGATCCTTGAGGAAGTGGAGCATCCCTGAAGGGCTGTGAGCTCGACAGTGTATTGCTCCCTTTCCCTCCTTCTCTAGGACTGCGAAACAACCTCCACTCTGGTCCTGTGTCCATAACCCACCCCCCAGCCGGCTCCTGTGGACTGCTCTCTCTCCTCCCTCCTGTGTCCTCCCCCCCAACCCCTGTGTCATAGCCTTGCCGTTCTCTCTCCCCCACCCTCCGTGTTCTCCAGGGGCTGTGAGGGCCTCGAGCATCTTCCCCATCCTGAGTGTGATTCTGCTCTTCATGGGTGGACTCTGCATCGCAGCCAGCGAGTTCTACAAGACTCGACACAACATCATCCTGAGTGCCGGCATCTTCTTTGTGTCTGCAGGTAACAGCTGCTGAGCCAGGTGGGCCAGAGTCCAGGCCCACCAGTGGGGAGAAGGTTGAGGTTGGGTGCCCAGTGGCTGGGAGGACCTGGCAGAGAGAGGAGGCGAGAGCAGAGAGGAATTTCCGGGCCTTGCAACAGGCTGAGTCGCAAGGAAGACAGGTTGTGCTGGGGCTCCCGCCCCAATGCAATACCGAGCCCCCCCACTGAGTCCTCCAGGACCATCCCCAGACCCTGTCCTTTAGCCCAACGATGCATCTTTCTCCCACCTCCTGGAAAAAGGCCCCAATCCCAGGATCCTCTCAGGACACTAGGCCTATCCTCACTTGCCCTCTCCCCTCACTGTCCTACCCAGGTGGGAGCAGGCAGGCACCCAAAACCACATTTCTCAACCCAGTTATGTGACAAGTCACATTGGCTTCAGATGCCAGAAAAAGAACATGGGCTGTAGTATGAGCCATTTAATAAGAACGACTAACGTTTAAGCAGCACCTACCACATGCAGACTTAACAGCTTTCATGTCTATTAACTCACATGCATCAACTCACATGCATTCACATGTATTAATCCTCCCCGTGACCCGACAGGAGTAAGTCCTATTATTTTTTTAATAGATCTTTATTGGAGTATAATTGCTTCACAGTACTGCATTAATTTCTATTGCACAACAAAGCGAATCAGTCATATGCACACACATGTCCCCATATCCCCTCCCTCTTGAGCCTCCCTCCCATCCGCCCTCTCCCACCCCTCTAGGTCATTGCAAAGCACCGAGCCAATCTCCCTGTGCTATGCTGCTGCTTCCCACCAGCCAACTATTCTACATTCGGTAGTGTATATATGTCAATGCTACTCTCACCTCGCCCCAGCTTCGCCCTCCCAACCCGTGTCCTCAAGTCCATTCTCTATGTCTACCTCTTTATTCCTGCCCTGCAACTAGGTTCGTCAGTACAGATATGGAAACTCAGACCCCGGTTCCTTTGCCAGAGGCTTTGCATCCAGGCAGTCTGGCTCTAGGAGCTAGTCTTAACCCCCTGCTACACCAGCTTCAAATCCCTGTGCAGCCTTGAGCAAGTTACTTAACCTCTCTGCAATCTGTTTTCTCATCTGCAAACCACTTGAAAAGCACTCAGCAGTGAAGGCAGGTAGTAAGTGCTCAATAAACTATATTATTATTATTACTACTCAATACATTGTAGGATGCCCCTTGCTTCTTTCCCTTCTTCCCATAGCTCTGTTTCCATTAGCTCTTCCCTTTGCAGCTCTCTCCAAATGGAATAATAGGATAGTAAGGTGATGCTTGCAACACCCTTCTAGACCGGCGCATCCGTTCTCCATGAAAACGCTGGACCAGGAAAAGACCCTCCAGCAATTCCCCGTCCCGTCATCCTGCCCGGGGCCTGGCATCCTCCTTGGAAACTAACGATCCTTCCCTCTGCTTCCCTCTCCGCCCGCGCCCACCCTCTGCCCGCAGGTCTGAGTAACATCATTGGCATCATAGTGTACATATCTGCCAATGCCGGAGACCCTTCCAAGAGCGACTCCAAAAAGAATAGCTACTCGTACGGCTGGTCCTTCTATTTCGGAGCCCTGTCCTTCATCATCGCCGAGATGGTCGGGGTGCTGGCCGTGCACATGTTTATCGACCGGCACAAACAGCTGCGGGCCACGGCCCGCGCCACGGACTACCTCCAGGCCTCCGCCATCACCCGCATCCCCAGTTACCGCTACCGCTACCAGCGCCGCAGCCGCTCCAGCTCCCGCTCCAGCGAGCCCTCTCACTCCAGGGACGCCTCCCCCGCGGGCATCAAGGGCTTCAACACCCTGCCGTCCACGGAGATCTCCATGTACACCCTCAGCAGGGACCCCCTGAAGGCCGCCACCACGCCCACCGCCACCTACAACTCCGACAGGGATAACAGCTTCCTCCAAGTTCACAACTGTATCCAGAAGGAGAACAAAGACTCTCTCCACTCCAACGCAGCCAACCGCCGGACCACCCCCGTATGAAGCTCCCGCGGGCCTCGCCTGCGCCGCCGCCGCCGCCGCCGCCGCCGCCGCCGTCGCCGCCAGGGTCCCGGACAGAGCCGGGAGGCGGGGCGCGGCCTGCGGGGTGGGCCATGGGGTGGGGGGGTGAGGGGGAGGAAGCGAAACCATCCACGGGGGACAAACCTTCCAAAAGCAAAAACAACAAAAAAAGAGAAAAACATAAGTAAATTAAAAAAAAAAAGAACAACATATAAGAGGAACAAAGAAGCAAAACAATAGAAAATGTGCAAAACTATAAACGAGGGAAGGAAAAACAAACTTTAAAAAAGCAAGAGAGGATAAAAATTAAAAATAGAAAATAAATCTAAAAGAAAATGCATGATTTCCCATGTACCATTATTTTAACGTTTAATAAAAACCAATTTAAATGAAAACATACAAGGGAACCAAGATAATATTAAAGCAAAAAAAAAGGAGAAGGAACAGAAAGGAAGGGAAATGTTCTTTGCATTTATCAGGGGTTTATGTTACTTTTTTTTTTCATGCGGAAGAGTTACTTTTCTGTTCCCTTTAACCCCAAGCTGGCTCTGCCTCCCTGGGTGAGTGGGGGGGTGGAGACTCAGGGGCCCCGGGGCCAGGTGAGCCTCCCGGTCACTGCCAGGTCCCTGGAGCTTCTGCATGGGTGCCCTAGGAACGCTAGGTGGCTTGCAAGCCGGCTCCACCCAGCATTGATGGGGCAATTGTAAGCCTCCAGGTGACCCAAGAGTCCCTGGTCCCTCCTGTCCGAAAGGTGCCTGGAGCGGGGTGCACCTGGGGCTTCTCCGGCCCCAGGGTTCCCAGTCCTTAATGGTCCTTAACCCACTGTGATGACTTCCTAGGCCTTGAGGGAAGGGAAGGAGAGGAGATGGCTGCTGGTGGCTTGCAGAGATGCCTGGAAAACCCCGGAATCCTCAGGGTGAGCCTCTTGGGGTCACTGCCCCAAGCTCCTGTCTTGGGGGCAGGAGATGCCCACCCCCCGGGGGATATAAAGCATCTCTCCCTCCTCACCCCTCACCTCAGGGCCATGCGATGACCCTGGGGCGATGGTGGACCCCCAGACTCATAAGCCCCCAGCCCCTTGGGAGGGGGGTTCACAGACCCTTTGGGGGTCCTTGGACTCACTGAAGCCCCCTCAGGGCCCAGCGGGTCCAACAATGACACTGCAAAAAGGTTTCTTTTTACAAAAGAAAAAGGAAAAACAAGTGGTGATTTTTTTTAATAAAAAAACCACAGACTATAAATAAATGTAAATATATAATAAGTGGATTTACTTGCAAGAAAATCAGATAGTATTTTTCTTTTAATTCTTTTCCAGCTTTAAACTGTGAAAACAAAAAAAAAAATGGGGTGGGGTGGGGGACTTAAAATTTAGCAGGGAACTTGTAAAGAGAAAACAGAAAACAAATATACAAATCCATTTTAAGAAACAAACAAGCTGCTGTGAGAGATGAGAGCTGGGCTTCAAGCAGGAGGGAGAGGAGAAAGGCCCCAGGGAGCTGCATGGGGCTGATAGAAAAGATCTCCTCCTTACTCCAGGAAAGTGCTACTAAAGTGAAAGAGAGAGAATCGGTCTACACAAGTGAGATCGCACACCCCACTCTCTCACACACACACACACACACGCACACACACACACGCATGCACAGTCCTCGAAGCCCAGCGCTGGAATCACTCATGGGGACACACACTCAGTCCATATCCTTCCATCCCCTTCCCCAACCAGAGGCAGGATTCAGAGAAGACTGACTCATGCCCACCAAAGCCATTGACAACAAAGCTCTATATTGGCCTTTATGCTTACGTGCGCACTCCCACCACACCACGGTCACACATGCACACGTGCGCACGCGCGTGCACACAAACACACACACACCGCTCGCATGCAAGGAAAGGGCACCAGTCTAGAATCCAGCTCTGGATTCTGGAATCCCTGGCTGTGTGGCTTCCCTGGGCCTCAGTTTCCCCCCGTGTAAGCATGTGGATTGACCCAGATGAAACTCCAAAGGCCCGTTCTTCTTCTTGGTGTCGATGACTCTTAAGATCTGCCACCTGCCCAGAGGAAGATGCCAAGGGATGACCAAAATGGCTGCCATCCAGCCCCCAGACATCGAGAACATTCCCAAAACATCA